CGCACACACACACGCGCACTCACACACAGACACACCTACACACACACACACGCACACACACTCACACTCACACGGACACACACACACACACACACACACAAACAGGCCGAAACACATATATACACACACAATCACCGCACGCGGAAGTAACCCACGTAATATGATCAACGACAGCAAACGTTCTATTGACACTGCACTAAGTCCACCTTTTACCCCCCCTTCCTCCTTTTTTCCTCCCCACAGCACCACACTGATCAGCTGACAACTAAGTGACCGGTCCAGTGAGATCCCTGGAGCACCCCTCAAGACATCGTCCACCCTCAGGACACCCGCTACACTCCCACTGGTCAGTCTGTCTCACAACCGGCGGAACAGGATCCAGCACCAGGCGCCCCCCTCGTCCTCTTTGATCAACGGCAGATCGTTGTAATGGTCTGGGAAGAAACAAACTCAAAGTGAAAACGAACCATCCTCATACCGGTAGCCGGCACTCGAGTGTGAAGACTTGAAAATCGTAAACCCTGGTTATTCCTTGATCTCGACAAAATTCTACAATCTATTTGATCGGACACTTACCGCATTTTTTGGGGAAATTATTATGGATGCCTATTTCCTCAGACAAGTTTTGTACGTATTTGTATAAAATTCGTTTCAAAAGAAAATTCGCCAAGTTATTGGACAGCTCTTAAAAGGTGAAAGGTCAAGCTGCTGTCACGATGTTCAACGTAGCCGACACGATCAACGGGTACAAGTTCCACCCGGACAATGCGTCCATTTCGCGTGGGTTCCAGTACAGTTCGGTCTCTTACACGGCTCTGTACCCCTGGAGGCAAGGGCTGACCAATGGTCACTCCAGCAGTTCCCTGCGTCTGTGTGCTTGCCTTCCTGGTCGTCAGTCTCTTGCTGCCAAGTGCGCTTGCTTGTTTCGGTCGTCCTGGGTAAGTTGATGAGTTTATTTTGTTTTTAACTGGTGTACTTTTAATTACGTTTTTGACTTATATATAGATCTGTGATATTTCTGTGATCTGAGTACTATATTTCGATTTAATCAATTTTGTAAAGTACGCCTGCCTGTTTCGATCATTCAATGGTAAGTTGACGAGTTTGTTGTTGTTTTTGTTTTGGTTTTTACTGGCGTTTTTTTTAACGTTTTCTTTTCACATAGATCTGTGTTTATTCTGTGAGCTTACATAGATGTTTCGATTTGAATAGTGAAGTGAGACAATGTTCGCGGGTGGTAAGCGGGTTATGGTGTGGTGTGGTCTGCTCCTTTTCTATTAAACACCTATCGTCCTGATCCAAACTGTGTGAGTTGTGTTATTTATCCTTTTTTGTGTTTGTTACTATCCTGTAACACCTCCCATCTATGACACTTGCATGACATTATTGTTTTGCAAGAACCGCAAAACTCTAATTAGAACTAAAAGAGAAGAAAATGTTGGGTTGGGTTTTGTTGCATATCCTGGGTGTGCAGGATGGGGGATAGAAACGTCAGTCAGTCGAACTAAATTAATGTAGACGTGGACGACGCCATAGAAGTTGACCTTGGACACTCTTGTTCTACCTATTGTGGATCACGGACAATAGTTTGATAATACTGCTGTTGTTGATGTGTGGTAATCATGATTGCAGTAGTAGTAGTAGTAGTAGTAGTAGTAGTAGTAGTAGTAGTAGTAGTAGTAG